AGTTATTTAGAAATACAAAATGCTACAAAATGAATGTAAAGAATGGGAAAATGTATTTTTGCATGAAAACAGACTACTTACAAACTTGCTTAATTATCTCAGGAAAAAATGAGTAATCATATATAAAATTGATAAATTATATGTTGAGCTAAGTTGCTGCATTTTCTTGCCTGTTTTTATTTTAAAGGAGCATATACATGAAAGAACAAAATGATCCTGGTAGTCTGAATTTTCTCTCAAGTATGCTGCACAGTCCTTTCTGTGAATCTACAATCAACTGCAATAAGGATGGGATTAGCCTCCAAGTGAGGACAAAGTCCCAAATGGGAAGCTTCAGTTAGACTATATGCATGGTTGTCACCCAGAGGCAATAGATAAATACCTGGCATACAAGCATTTCTAAACCTGGTCCCAAACTGAAAAGGTTTTCATGAGGTGACAGTTGCTTTTAAACATTCATTTGACTGGTTATTTTAATTTTCCTTGTTAAGTCATTGCAACAAATGCATGAGGGGAAAAACGGATATTTTTTGAAGAATTGCTTATTCTTTCAATTTTTAAAAAGGAGATTAAAATATTACTTTTTAAATATGCATAAAAGTATCTTAACTATAGTTATATTTTAGTTGCTTTGTTATAATAGCATGCATAACAAATATAAAATGCATTTATGAAAACTTTTGTAAAAAATAAAGATTTTTTTGTTTCTCAAAGTTGCTTATAATTATTATTTTATGTATTCATATCATATAATCCCATGATGTTAGTATATTTGGTCATCATCAATGGTAGTACTTATAGTAAACATAGTATCAAGCCATGTCACTAGTCTGCATACTCCACATCCTCTGTAAGGGTCCCCAAACTTCAAAGCCTTATGGTCCCCCAAGAGGCTCTCATTTGCTTTGTACATTTGCTGCTACCAAATGTGTCCTGGATTTAAATCACTTCTATATTTTTAAAGAATATGGCACAAAAAAGGAACAAAGAACTGTATTCAAAGTTTCCATCATGATGGCCCATAAACAGTATTTCCATAATGTCTTTAACCCACATACTAGATAACAGGCACACTTTCTTAAAATGGTATGTTCTGCCATTCTAAATTATGCAGATTCTGCCTTCTCAAAATTTTCTAAGCCTCCACTCTTTATTCCCACAGCTTTTAGTGTAATTGGCTCCACTCTCATCTGTTGTCTGGAATATTACAGTGCTTTCTTAATTAGTCTTCGTTTCCATCCCAGCTTCCTCAAATTTTGCCATCCATATTTCAGTCACAGTGACTTTCCTAATTTGAAAATCTGATCATGCCACTCTCCTGCTTAATATTCCTTCAATGACTTCCCACAGTTTCCAGAATAAAGTTCAGACTCCCTGGTTCAGCACACAAGGCCCCAACCCTCTTCTCGTGCCCTTCCCCCACGGAGCCTTGGCTGCAATCATAGCAACTACTTTTTGTATGTAGTGTCCTAAAAGCATCATGTTTTTCTGTGCCTCCTATGGTCCCCTTTTTGTAGAATGCCCTTTCCTTTAACCCCTCTAACTCCTACCATTTATCTCTTAAAACTCAGCTCAAGTACTCTTTTCTCTTGGAAGCTTGCCACATGGCTGACTGGTTGATTGTCCCTCTGCCCACTCCCACTCAGACTGTGAGTTGCTTGAGTTTGTAGCAGAAAGTCTAGGCCAGTGATGGCGAACCTTTTGAGCTCAGTGTGTCAGCATTTTGAAAAACCCTAACTTAACTCTGGTGCCGTGTCACATATAGAAATTTTTTGATATTTGCAACCATAGTAAAACAAAGACTTATATTTTTGATATTTATTTTATATATTTAAATGCCATTTAACAAAAATCAACCAAAAAAATGAGTTCGCGTGTCACCTCTGACACGTGTGTCATAGGTTTGCCATCACTGTGTTAGGAGGAATTGGAGCATGACAAGCCAAATGCAAGGAGATCCATGCCACCTATGCTAACCATCTTTCATAACAAGCCTCCCTAGGCTCTGGTTTCTTCAGCTGCATAATGAGGGGCAACTAGATCATCTCTAAGGACCCTTTTGGCTCAAGAAATCATACCAAAGGTTATTTCCAGTTTTGAAATCCTATCCATTAATTTCCTTAAATCTTTACTTGATGGCACTTCAGTGAATGAGATTCAGAGTTCCAGGAATATAAGACAGAGTTCTAGGGAATCAGGCCACCAAAGAGCAGATCAACCTTTGCTTTAAGGTGTTTTCCTCTTTCAATGTTTCTTCCAGTCTAGGGCATCCAGGACCCAGACCTCCCAAAGGTCATGTAAGAAAGGGGGAGAGGGAAGCCTGGAGACTTTGGCTTATAACTAGAGAGTGGCTGTCAGCATATTACGGATATCACTAAAGAAATAAAAATACATTCATCATTTTATACTGCAACAAAACTGTGAGATCTTGATGGAAGGGCCATTTCTAATTCACCCCTATCCCCAGGACCTACCACAGTGCCTAACACAGAGTAAGGTGCTGAATAAGTGTTGATTCAGTGACTCAAAGCACTGTATCTAATCAGGTAAGAAAGACTACCCTCTGTTCTTTACGAAGTTAAGTTTTAATGGATTAATTATATATTAAATTGGTTGTCATAAATGACTTTCTACGAGCAGATTTGAAAGAAAAAAATTCAGAGTGATATAAAAATATAGTGGCTATGTATGTGTTTATAGTCACACAATATTGAAGCATCACAGAAAAGTCTTTATAACTTTTGAGTTTCATCTCTACAAATGTCATTTTTAATATTGTGAAATGTCATTTTTTTTAAAAAGGTTTTTATTTTATTATTTTTTTGTTTTTAAATTTATCTTTATTATTGAAAGTATTACAGATGTCCCCCTTTTTCCCCCATTGACCCCTTCTATCCTGTACCTGCACCCCCACGCCTTCACCACACTATTGTCTGTGTCCATGGGTTATGCTATATGCATATAAATTCTTTGGTTAAAACAAACAAATAAATAAATAAAAGCCATAATTAATACATGCTTGCTGTGATTACATCATAAGATCCACATAAATACAAAGAAAATAGGAAAAAAGGATAAAGTGTTATTATATTTCTTTTTAAAAAGGTGGTTATTATGTGCACAGTATGCTTATCAGATGCAGCCAGATCAGGGGTGGGCAAACTTTTTGACTCGAGGGCCACAATGGGTTCTTAAACTGGACCGGAGGGCCGGAACAAAAGCATGGATGGAGTGTTTGTGTGAACTAATATAAATTCAAAGTAAACATCATTACATAAAAGGGTCTTTTTTTTTTTTTTTTAGTTTTATTCATTTCAAACGGGCCGGGGCCGTAGTTTGCCCACGGCTGAGCCAGATGGTTCAATCTGGGTGTATGGAGAGAGGGAGGTCATTCCTAAGTCCCTCCAATTAAGCAGAGCCAAAGAGCTGAGCCCCAGGAACCAGGAGGGGTGTCCCCTGTGGAATTCCCCACCTTAACACAAGGGGGCTAAGGCAGCGGTTTTCAACCTGTGGGTCGCGACCCCTTTGGGGGGTCGAACGACCCTTTCACAGGGGTCGCCTAAGACCATCGGAAAACACATATATAATTACATATTGTTTTTGTGATTAATCACTATGCTTTAATTATGTTCAATTTGTAACAATGAAAATACATCCTGCATATCAGATATTTACATGACGATTCATAACAGTAGCAAAATGACAGTTATGAAGTAACAACGAAAATAATTTTATGGTTGGGGGTCACCACAACATGAGGAACTGTATTAAAGGGTCGCAGCATTAGGAAGGTTGAGAACCACTGGGCTAAGGGATCCTGCGTGTCCCTGGAAAGAAACTTCTGGAACCCCAAATTTCCAAATGCTTGGATAAACTCTCAAGTACCATGGCCCCCCAGAAGACTGACGCTGATTGTTCAAGAGGACACTCCCTGAGGCTTTCATGTGCTTTCGTTCCCCTCTGACCCTCCTGCCCTGAGCCAGGCTGACCGCTAGGCTCCCTGTGCTCAGAGACCTAACACTCCATTACTGCAGGTGGACAAGGTGAGCAGTGGGGCAGTCGGCGCGAACTCCTGGAGAAAGAACAAGTCTTGTCCTGTAAGCATCCTGTGGGCCGAAGCCAGAGAGCCTGCGTCAGGGGCCAGGAGCCACGCCCCCCACCTCACCCTCACCCCTAACCCCCACCCCAGGTTCTTCATATAGCATTCTATACTGAAGGAAGGCCTTTATTTTTAGTTTAAAAAAGATTTCTACACACCCATATCCACGTGTGTGTCCTGTATTGGAGGGGGCCGTTTCAGTTTTACAGAAAGCCAGTGGTAGATTTGTCTGTGCAGTGACTGTAAAGCTTAA